GTTTCACCTTCTTTCTTAACTCTCCAACATCAGTCAATTCCACAATCCGCCAATCCTAGCCCTAGAGGGAGTTCCATATGCAACTTCAATAAAGAAAACAAATTTTTGATCTCATAAATATAAAAACTCTGAACACACAACTTCATAGGCCTACTTTTCATATTAGTCTCCACTAATATAGAACAAACGCACAACTTCAGATCATTAGGACTTAATTAAGCTTGTAACATTAGGCTAAGGTATTGGGTTATGAAAGAACATAAAGGATTCAAGCAATTAAGAGGAATAATCTTACCTTTGAAGAACATGATCGCTCAAAACAACTTATTCTCTCAAACCTTGAAACCTTTATTTTTTTATTTTTTATTTTGCATCACTCTTCCCAACCACAATCGAATCTATACCCTTTTCATACTTCCTTATTCGTTTTTTTTTTTTTAATAAGTAATTTAGGAAGCAATGATATCACCAAATTTCCTTTTTTCCAACACAACAACCCCCAACCAGTACTTTCAAACATCTTCACAATTTTATTTTTTTTAAACGATGCTTTCAATCACACACATTTTCACTTTCATAAATTCAGATTAAATCCTCTTAAAAGAATATCAAAGGTAGCAAATGTGTTTAAGGGTTAGATAGGGTAGGTTATTGCGAGATTAAAGGAAGAAAATCAAAGTTAAATATATACAATATCGGCACAACGGGGTGACTAAGGGTAATAACATATAGGGTTGGCTTAAAAGGCACAAACAGTCCTAAGATAACCTAAGTCATTTTAATTATGCATCATCTAAGATTTTGCCTCGCGTGATCATCAAATAGGATCTAGAATTTGGGGGATCTCACAAAGTTGTAGGAAGATTACACACAAAACGTCTCTAATTGCTAGGACTGGCCCACCAAACAAACCACAATCTTGAGAGTTTCAAACTACGGTAAAACCAACATCCAAAATAATTCCTAGACTAGAGTAAAAATTGGCTTCTTCTAGACGCTACATGTCATTGCAATCATGTTATATCATAGACATATTAAGTAAACCAGGAAACACAAGTTCCCACAAACTAGAAAAATTTTACAAGCATATTTCATATCTTTTCCCCACCCCCACCCCCAACCTAAATCCTATATTGTTCCCAATGTAGCCATCAAAACAAAGTAGAGGTAAAGGGAAAGAAACAAGTTACCCCCGTTGGTTACACTACAAGAAAAAAGCCCTTCCTTGACAGCTATTACCTATCAAGAAGGGGGTACAATGATAGTTTTTGAACTATCATTGTAGCCGCTGTCAAGGAAGGGTTATGACAGTTTTCAAGCTATCAAAGACCTCTTGACAGTTTGATAACTGTCAAAGATTTAACAGAATTTTAACCAATTCCTTGACAATTACCAAACTGTCAAAGATTTAGCCGAATTTCAAGGATTTGTTTTTTTTTTTTTTTTTTTTTTTAAAGAATTTTAGCCAAATTGTTGACAGTCTACGGTCTTCACACTGTGAAGATTTCTTTTGTTATTTTTTTTTTAAATTAGTAAAATTTCATTATTATTACGAATTAAATTATAGAATAGTCAAATGAAATGCTTCATAATATTTATCCTTCCAACAATTATCACAATTCAACAATACAAAATGAGACATCGAACAATTGATCGAATGGTACATACATTTAGGGGTGAGCACGGGTAGCGGGTAGAACCGGAACCTATGGGTAGAACCGCAATCGGAACCGGAACCTGAACCTACCCGAAACTGGCACTGTGCAGGTAGGTTCCGGTTCCATTTTATTAGAACCGACACTGTGCGGTTCCAGTTCTTATGTATGGAGGAATCAGAATTGGAATCGAAACTTGGAAAAAGAACCTAAAACGGGTACCCTATTTGGAACCTGTAGCGGGTACTTAGTTTAGAACCTGTTTTAAAACCTGGACTGCAATGAAATATTTGTGAAATATGAATAATGGGGGGTTTCTATTATTTTACATATAAAAAAATTTAAAATAGAAAAATTTAAATTTTCAGAATAACCTAATTAAATAAATATACAATTATACTTATTACATATAAATTACACCATATTAAAAACTATAATATATTAATATTAAAGTTTTGATTAATTAAGTAAATAATTGGAATTATGATCCAATTAAAACTGTTTTAAATTTTTAATGTTATTAAAAGAATTATTTTTGAATAAAATAGTGTATTTGATTGAATAATAATATATTTAGTTATTTACTTCAATTATCAAGTCCTAAGTGTATATATAGTAAATTAGCAATTAATTAATTATATATTATAAATTGATAAACATTAATAAATTTTATTACTAGTTAAATATCATACTTAATCAATTATAATATTACATTATAGTTAAATGATTACTTAATTAATTATAATTTTATAACATTACTTAATTGATTTATAGTATAATTAATTATAGCATTACATTAATTGACTACTACTTAATTAACTGACTTATAAGTTATAACATTTAGTATATTACTTAATTAAATAATTAGAACTTTAATTAATTATAGCATTACATTATAAATTTATGGTACAATTACTTAATCAATTATAACATTTCATTATAAACATTAGTACAAACTTAATTACATGATTAAAATTTTAATTAATTATAATATTACATTAAAGATTTATAGTATGATTACTTAATTCACTATAACATTACATTATAGTATAATTACATAATTAATTATAACATTGCATAATTAAATGATTACTTAATTCATTATGACATTATATTATAAATATTAGTAATTACTAATTTACTACATAAACATTAGCACCATACTTAATTAAATGATTAGAAATTTAATTAATTATAACATTACATTATAAATTTATAATACGATTACGTAATTAATTGTAGCATTACATTATAATTAAATTATTACTTAATTAGTTATAACATTCTATTATAAACAAATTAATTATAATATTATATTAAAAATTTATAGTATGATTATTCGATTCATTGTAACATTTCAATATTTCATTATAGTATGATTACATAATTAATTATAACATTACATAATTAGGTGATTATTTAATTGATTATGACATTATATTATAAACATTAATTATAACATTATATTATAAACAAATGATTAATTAATTAAATGATTAGAAATTTAATTAATTAAATATTACATTATAATTAAATAATTACTTAATTAAATTATAACATTATTACATTACATTATATTATGATCACTTAATTAATTATAGTATTACATAGTTAAATGATTACTTAATTAGTTATAAATTTATAACATTACATTATAAATATTAGTAATTTACTACATTGTTACATTATTTAATTAAATGATTAAAAATTTAATTAATTATAATATTACATTAAAGATATATAGTCTGATTACTTAATTTACTATAACATTACATTATAGTATGATCATATAATTAATTATAACATTACATAATTAAATAATTACTTAATTGATTATGAGTTATGTCATTATATTATAAACATTAGTAATTACTAATTTACTACATAAACATTAGCACAATACTTAATTAAATGATTAGAAATTTAATTAATTAGAAATTTATAATACGGTTACTTAATTAGTTAATTAATTGTAATGTTATATAATAATTAAATGATCGCTTAATTAATTATAACATTCTATTATAAAAGAAATTAATTATAATATTATATTAAAAATTTATAGTATGATTACTTAATTCATTATAATATGATTACATAATAGATGATTATTTAATTGATTATGACATTATATTATAAACATTAATTGTCACATTACATTATAAACAAATGATTACTTAATTAAATAATCAGAAATTTAATTAATTAAGCATTACATTATAGTCAAATAATTACTCAATTAAATTATAACATTATTATATTACATTATATTATGATCACTTAATTAATTATAACATTACATAGTTAAATAATTACATAATTAGTTATGAATTTATAATATTACATTATAAACATCAATAATTTACTATATTATTACATTACTTAATTAAATGATTAAAAATTTAATTAATTATAACATTATCTTATATATTTATAGTATGATTGCTTAATCAATTATAACATTCCATTATAAATATTAGTATATTAGTTAAATGATTAGAAATTTAATTAATTACAATATTAAATTATAGATTTATAGTATGATTACTTAATTCATTATAACATTACATTATAATATTACATAATTAATTATAACATTATATAATTAAATAATTACTTAATTAATTATGACATTATAATATAAACATCAATAATTTACTAATTTACACAATACTTAATTAAATTATTAGAATTTTATTAATTATAACATTACATTATAAATTTATAATATGATTACTTAATTAATTATAGTATTTTATTATAAACAATATTACAATACTTAATTAAATGATTAACAAATTAATTAATTATAATATTACATTATAATTAAATAATATATTACTTAATTAATTATAACATTACAATTTACATTCCAGTATGATCACTTAATTAATTATAATATTACATAATTAAATGATTATTTAATTAATTATGACATTATATTATAAACATTAAACATAAGGATTTAATTAAATTATTAAAAATTTAATTGATTATAACATTACATTATTGTTAAATAACTACTTAAATATTTATAAGTATTTATAACATTACATTATAGTATGATCATTAAATTAATTATAACATTACATTATAATATAATAATTACAACATTAATATATCACATTATAAACATTATTAATTTATAATATTAAATTTACAGGTTATGAGTTACATTAGACACAAATGAATGAGTAATCAAAATTTATTAGAGGTGTAATTGTAAACTTTTAAGGTATTTTTGTCATTTTTTAAACTAATAGGGTGGTAATTAATTTTTTACAGGGTACCCGAGAAAAGAACCGGAACCTGCATTTTAGGTTCCGGTTCCTTGAATTGAAGAACCTGCACTATGTGGTTCCGGTCCCTTTTTTTGAGAACCTGCACTGTGTGGTTCCAGTCCCTTTTTTTGGGAACCTGCACTATACGGTTCCGGTTCCGATTCTCTCGAGAAATGCAAGGTACCCGGAATCGCTCACTCCTAATATATTATTGCTGCTCTGAGTAAACAAAATTGAACAGTATAAATTTTACAATATTGCATAAACAACAATGAAAAGTAATCAATTCAAAAATAAAAAGTTTGATACAAAGTTTTGCCCTCATTGGCCTCTAACATCACTGAAACAACAATAACTAAAAAAAGTTTGATACGTACATCGCCCTTTCTCCTCTGACTTCATCAACCTTTGCATCTTCGTATATTTCTTTCCCTAGGAACTATAAAAATAAACACAATATGACTAATCAACAAATATCAACTACATCCTATTATTCAAAACCAAAAAAAAAAAAAAAAAAAAAATAATAATAATAAAAAAATAAAAAAACTTACATTGTTTTTCAGTAATGCCAACCCATTCTCAAGTATATCTCTCTCATGTATCTCATTATATAAAACCCACATTCAACGCTTCCCAGTTGAATGGTCCCTACACAAAATTAATTCGAAAGTAAGCTTTAATATTCAAAAGGTAAAACAATATTATTAATTGAAAATTAATTGCTATTGATAATAACAATTCTACACAACATTGCATAAGTACCCAACACAACAACCACAAAGAAGCAATAGAATGATCACCCAGCAAGAGTTAATCAGCCCAAAACAAACCAATAAAACTAAAAATTGAATAAATATTAATGGCAGCCTATATCCTGTGCACCCCTAACTTAGATGTCGACTATAACCACTGTCTGGTATTTCAATATGAGTTCATAATATTGCTATCCTTAAAAGAAAGAGAAAGTTATATACTTACAGTCATTACTCCTATTGCTGCACTGACACTAGCCTCACCAAATAAAGCTGTTGCTACCTCAGTGACCAATGCAGTGGCTCCAATATTTGCCACACTGAATAGGTAAATAGAATCTATAAAAGAATTAATTTTCAAACTCAATATGAAAAGAAAATAATTAGTTACACTAACATCAAGGGGGAGGGTAATACGTTGTGCCAATGAGAATAGTCGTAAAAAACCGAGTAACATCACAGCGAAGCATTTTAAAGACACCATTATCAGGCTCTTTTTCTGCCAATTCCCGCACCTGAATCAAAATAATATCAAATGGCCAATTAGAACAAATAAAACTATTTGAAGAGATGGCAATCATCTACTTATACCAAAAAGTACCAGATGATGTTTCAGTTAACATCTTTTATGCTGAAACAGGTAATACGGTTTAGAATTCAAAGAGCTTGTGCTTATTTTATTAGTCCATATATTCTCATTCGGTTATCCCTCAACTTCAGCCAACTAAAACCCAAAAAAGAAATAGCATTCACAACACCTCAACGGAACAAGGTCTAATATTATACCCAACATAATATAATTGGACTTTATAAGTACATATGGTAAAGTAGCACTAGAACAAATAAAATTAAATAATCTGCTTTTCCAAATAATAACACAATGTGCAATAAATTGTTGTAGACTCCATAAACCACCAACATCACAATGACACCAAACTAAGCTAATATACTTCCAAGACCACAATAATAACAAACACTTAAATGCATAATTTGTGAAAACACAATTGCATAAACATTAAACAAACACAGACTAGCTCAAGAACTTTATACCTGCCAAGGCCAAAGAACGCAGACAACCCCAAAAGTGCAGCCAAAACCATTTTGTTCAAGTTCATTTCATAATCATTTTGCACAGCCTTGAATTGCTTGTTAGCAACCCTAAGTGTTCCCTGTAATACACCTTTCCTAATTGGAACCTGTCATAGAATTTCCTAGCAGCTTCATTGAACATTGTTGCTTGTATTTGTGTGCCCTGCACCAAACAAATCAATTTTAACCATTCATCACTAACATGTTAAAAGACAATAATTTATAGTTAACATTATTATAATTTCGCATATACATGACCCTAAAGAAAAATTGTTTACGCAGATTAAACTTTTTGACTTACATCTTGATCTGTTAACTCCACATTGAAGACACACCCTTCTCCTCTTGCATTCTTGTAAGTACGCATGTTCCCTTTGCTTGTAACACGAACTTTTATTGTCCAATTGCCTAGGTAGGGATTCAAGGAACAAGAGGATGAACTCTTCTAGTCATAGCCATTCGGGCGACAGAAGCCATACTGAGATTTAGCAAATAAAACATCAACATTTAATTACCTATGCCAAAACCCAACAAAATACACAACATTTGGGTTACATTAAACAAAAAGGAAAAATACTCAATTTCCATGCTGTTCATGAACTGTTTGAGCAGCAGATTTAGCAACTATTTCTTGTTTAGGCTTCACGAAGCAGCAGGCACAAACTGCCAGTACACAAGATAAACGACGAGCTCCAAATCTCAGCTCATTAGCAAAATAACACCATCAATCATGTTCGTCACTGTCGCCATCTTCCGGTATCATTAAGGGCAGAAATGCTACAAAGCCTCAGATCTTGTCGCCAGCCCCGTCACACGTATGCGCCGTTATCGTCGCGCTCCTCCTCCTCTCAGTCTCTCCCCTCCACACGTGTCTCTCTCAACTGAACACCTCCTTGACCGCCCCAAGCCTCTGCTAAATGACAGTGCCTCCGATTCTGAGGGCTTCAGTTCCTCCATCGAGGACAAGATCAACGAACTCTAAAACGTCGATGAAGGACAAGAAAACGACGCCGTGGATGTCGATACTCAAGATCAAGTTCACGACTACTGTAAGGTTTCCTCATCTGGCTATTATTTCGATCACGTGATTGGATCAATCAAGCGTGCATTTAATAAAAGATCAATTGATGATGGAATTTTGATCACTGGAAGAGCGAGAAAGAGAGATTTTGGGCGGAAGAGAGGGAAAATTTTCTGGTTTTTTGGCGAAAGAAATGGGATTTTGGGCGCATGAATTTTGGCCGGAAGTGATGGTATTTTAATATTTTATAACCCTAAACCAGCTTTGACTTAATGGAAAGAGGGTGGGAAATTTGCCATAGTGACAACTTTGAGGTGGGAAACTTTGCCCTAGTGAAATTTTATTTTTTGTTTTTTTAACTTAATCCTTTACCGTTAAAAACTGACAATTAATAACTGTTAAGAATTTTGTAAAACAGTCCAAGATTATTTCAAATTCTTGATAGTTCATAAATTATCAAGAATTTGTTAAAAATTAATTTTTTTGACCTTTTTAGAACAGTCAAAAAATTATGTGAAATTTTCTATCAAGGAAAGCCGTTTTTCTTATAGTGTTAACAAATCAGAAAGGATCGGAAGTAACTCTATTAAATGTGCATCTTGTAATCAACATGAACATCTACCAACACAAAAAAAAAAATGAACACATGGTGTCTTTAGAATAGAATCCATGTTGTTTGTTAATAAGTATGAGTTCATGGAAATAGAAATAAACAAAAAAACAATAAAGATATAAAATCAACAACTAGAGTAAATAAAGTTTATACAAAAACAAAAAACATAACGAAAGCAATAAACAAACGAAAGAAACAAAATAGGAAATGAAAACAACAGAAAATAAAATAGGACATCCAGACGCCCAAATCCAACTCCTCTCTCACTCCTCATCGGCATAATCCTCCTCCTCCTCCTCCTTCTCATCATCATCCATATCATCTCTAGCCTCCTCTAAATCATTAGCTTTAGAATGTGCCATGTCACCTCCAGCAGGTGCCCTCGACTCATAAGCCCCCAGATAAGTCGTAAACAGAAACTAACAAGGATCTACTCCTGACTGAGATAATTGAAACTACTGGATCCACTGCATAGTTTGCCAACACTTAGCCTGATATGTCATCAAACTAGTGGCCCATGACTGCCACTCCCTCATCCAAGAGACCTCATCAGTCACTCTAGAAAGTTGTGCCCTCATACTATCCATCAGATAAAGTTTAGGCTGGTGGGATGATGTTGATGGGAGTGAAGCTCTGAGTACGCGGTTGTCGATAGTTATGAGCTTCCCTGGGTCCATCGTGGAGCTTTTGAAGGAATTGAAGCGTCAACCTTGGAAAAGTCAATCTCATTACTTCATCATCCCCACACTGACCTCCCGCTCTGATGCATAAAGAAGTAATGAGACTCGAAAATAGGTAGGACACTCCAAAAACTCTCGCAGCATGCTTGATCTATAATATATGACTTGTCCAATATCCATCTGCATTCGTTGAGCAATAGCATACTGTAAGTAATTGTTCTACCACACACAACGGAAAACAAAAATTCAATCAGTAAATCAATTACATTTCTTTGCCAAGATCCGAGTATAGATTATACCCTTTACATGTTTATAAACAAAAATCTGTATAAAGTAAATCCATTCAAGGATTAGAATACTTACGTATGTTTTGAGGTTCCTTCGAATATCTCTGATTTCATATAGGAACACTATTCACGATACTGTTATAGTTACTGTCCACGGTTACTGCTCACAGTTACTATTCACCATCTACTGTTCACGTGATTTTTCGTCAATCGATCCAAAGTAGGATCGCACTCACGGAAATCCACACGAAGATAATCCGCAAAACCCTTAATTATTTTGCTAGAACAATCAAGGGCTTCAAGAATCAAGAAAGAAGAACAAGAAAATTTTTCTTATTGAGAGAGAGAGAGATAGGGTGGCTAGGGTTTTAATTGTATGAATAATTCCCTCTTTGTTTTAATTTTAAGTTGCACTTATTAGTGCAACAATTAAAACCCTATTCCACTTAGGAATAGCCATGGGCTCCAACCCTAGTTCATGCTGGCAACCAAACACACCCTTTATGGTATTTTAATTAATTAATTATTATTATAATTAAAATCAATTAATATATAATAATATATTAACATTTAATTAATAATAATAATTCATTTAAATATATACAGAGATATATATTTAAATATAATCTGACTAATTTAATTTTAATATTAAAATTAAATACAAGCAACAACCTCAGCAAATTTAATTGCACTGTGAGATTACCAAAATACCCTTTTGTCCTAAAAGACGAAAATACCCTTCTCACAAATTGATTCTTAAATTATCTTCTAAGTGTGTGATCTGTAGGCTCCTCATCAAATTGGCAGTATGTAGTATCGTGATTAACACCAATTAATCGTCTCACTACACACAGACCAAGATTGACCCCTATCAAGGCATCATGGCCACCCGATAGATTCGGATTCAGCGAAACCGCAGCTTGTCAACGGTTTGCTTACCATGCAATCAAATCCTTTCACCAACTGTTATTTCATCGAGATTGAGGTACAAAAATAGTGTCAACCTCAGATATCCTCAACATGTTTGTATTCAGTTAATGGACCAATGACCGGAATAATAAATTGGATTGAGCATCAACTCAATCCCATTGTGGCCATAAATTTAGTGTAATTGCCATTTACTGAATTACCTAGTAAGATAACTTCTCCCGTACCTAGGAGTGATGAATCCTTTGTCGATCTACCATAGTCTCGATACACTTCTCAATGTAGCCAATCACTATCGTGTTGGTAGCTCTGAATATAACTACGTTGGGCTAGTGTCAAACTACACCAATTGGTGTACAAGGCGCTCTGGTGATCTCAAATCTAAGGATCACATGCACCACCATCCGTTAGAGGATTTATTCCATAGACACTAGGGTTACCATACATATGGAATCTTCTGATGGGTCTGTTCAGTGAACTTGCCTTTAGCAAGCATCCATGCGTTGCGCCAGGTTGTTGGCAAACAACCTTGACAAGTGAGATCAGTTACTACCTTTCGACAAGGTCGTTCAACACTGTGATAGCCTTACCGTATTATCTGTGTCCTTGATCAGAATAATATTGGGGCTATGGATGTTTCTATAATGGCCACCGTATGTGATCATAGGGTTCTCACTATCAAAATTTGAAACACTTGATACCCTCGTCATGGTTCTACCATCCTAAGGACGTATATCATTACATACACGATATAGAAGAATATGCATTTTATTGATAAATAAACATTTATTATAGAGTCAATTTTACAATAATTGATTGGCTTTAGGGCACCTACTCTAACAATCTCCCACTTGCACTAAAGCTAATCATTCATGTATTTAATATCGAATGACCTTAAGTGTTTTTCATGCTTCTGCTATGACAGAGGCTTTGTCAGTGGATCGACAAGATTGTCATCAGCATGCACTTTACTGATCTGTACATCTTTCCTCTCAACCATTTCTTTGATTAGATGAAAACGTCTGAGTATGTGTTTGGACTTCTGGTGAGACCGTGGTTCCTTTGCTTGAGCAATTGCTCCATTGTTGTCATAATAGACATCTATCAGATCAACAATCATGGAAACCACACCAAGTTCGGTGATGAACTTCAGATAATGAAATATACTTAGTGATGCTAGTTTTCAAACGGATAAAGATGATTATCGATCACAATCAGGGTTTGTATTTTGTCTCAATGGGGGTGCAGTGAGCTGGGAGAGCTCCAAGCAAAGCACTGTAGTAGACTTTACAATGGAGGCTGAGTATATTGCATTATCTGATGCAGCCAAGGAGGCAATCTAGATTAAGAAGTTCATCACCAAACTTGGTGTGGTTTCCATGATTGTTGATTTGATAGATGTCTATTGTGACAACAATGGAGCAATTGCTTAAGCAAAGGAACCATGGTCTCACTAGAAGTCCAAACACATACTCAAACGTTTTCATCTCATCAAAGAAATGGTTGAGAGGAAAAATGTACAGATCAGTAAAGTGCATACTGATGACAATCTTGTCGATCCACTGACGAAGCCTCTATTATAGCAGAAGCATGAAAAACACTTAAGGTCATTCAATATTAAATACATGAATGATTGGCTTTAGTGCAAGTGGGAGATTTTTAGAGTAGGTGCCCTAAAGCCAATCAATTATTATAAAATTGAATGATTGGCTTTAGTGCAAGTGGGAGATTTTTAGAGTAGGTGCCCTAAAGCCAATCAATTATCATAAAATTGACTCTATAATAAATGTTTATTTATCAATAAAATGCATATTCTTCTATATCGTGTATGTAATGATATACGTCCTTAGGATGGTAGAACCGTGACGAGGGTATCAAGTGTTTCAAATCTTGATAGTGAGAACCCTATGATCACATACGGTGGCCATTATAGAAACGTCCATAGCCCCAGTATTATTCTGGCCAAGGACACAGATAATACGGTAAGGCTATCACAATGTTGAACGACCTTGTTGAAAGGCAGTGACTGATCTCACTTGTCAAGGTTGTTTGCCGATAACCTGACGCAACGCATGGGTGCTTGCTAAAGGCAAGTTCACTGGACAGACCCACCAGAAGATTCCATATGGATGGTAACCCCAATGTCAGTGGAATAAATCCTCTAACGGATGGTGGTGCATGTGATCCTTAGACTTGAGATCACTGAAGCGCCTTGTGCACCAATTGGTGTAGGTTGACACTAGCCCAACGTAGTTCTATTCAGAGCTATCAATACGGTAGTGATTGGCTACATTGAGAGGTGTATCGAGACTATGGTGGATTGACAAAGGATTCATCACTCCTGGGTACGGGAGAAGTTATCTCACTAGGTAATTTAGTAAATGGCAATGACACTAAATTTGTGACCACAATGGGATTGAGTTGATGTCAATCCAATTTATTATTTCGGTCACTGGTCCATTAACTAAATACAAACATGTCAAGGATATTTGAGGTTGACACTATTTTTGTACCTCAATCTCAATAAGATAATAGTTGACGAAAGGATTTGATTGCATGGTAACCAAACCGTTGATAGGCTACAGTTTTGCTGAATCTATCGGGTGGCCATGATGCCTTGCTAGGGGCCAATCTTGGTCTGTGTATAGTGAGACGATTAATTGGTGTTGATCGCGATACTACACACTACCAATATGATGAGGAGCCTACGGGTCACACACTTAGAAGATAATTTAAGAATCAATTTGTGAG